ACATGTAATCCTAGAAATAAAGACTCACCTGAGAGAGCAAGAGAGGTAGAACCACTTCCTGGTTTCAAGGATTTCAGGAAACTCCTTAGCCTTTCAATTTCTTCATCATTAAATGGCCCCTGACTTAGTGTTCTTACTGCGGGATTGTGGAGACATTATGGGCCTGTTGAACTGCTTTCGAAACTCCATCGGTTTGAACGGGAGCACTTGTTACAGTCACGTCGGACATTGTTAATGGAGGAAGAATAAGGCCAGCAGGAAAGGAGATTAAAGAAGGGAAGAACTGGCCAGAATAAAGGAGAATAAAGAAACACTTCTGGTTACAGATCAACACTAAAGACCAGAAAAACACGAAGAGAAAAAACTGGCAATGAAGGCCGAAAAAAATTCTCAAGGTTGGCAAACCTAGAGCTCTGATATCATGTTTGAAATGGTAGAAAACTGATCTGCTTCATTCCATTGCTAATCAGCATATTTATACAGTAAGCTGCTGCAATAAATAGAAAAAAAAAACTTTCTAAATCAATCCCTATAATTAAGGGAATCAATCCCTATAATTAAGGGACTAACATTTTTAATCCCCATATTTAAGGGATTATATTTTTCCACAATCCTAGGAATACATTTTCACATAATTCTATTTTTACACAATTACCAAATATAAATGCTAACTACCAAATATACATCTACACCAGTAATCCCATGTTTTCCAACATGGTTAGAGGCTCCTAAGTCAATATACCAGAGGTGATTTGGTGAAGGACAATAGGTGGTGATTTACCAGACAGGCCAATAGCAAAAAAGGTTAAGGAGATGACCAAGGACATGAGCTATCAAATCCATTCTTCAAACATGCCACCAAAGGTCATTTTGGCCAGCCACATAAGTAATGGAGGAGGAGGCATCTGATCCATATATAGCAATCTGATAGGCCTTGTAGCTTCCTTTCTTCTGATTTGATCCACCACTTTTCTGAAGCCAAGTAGGGCATTCAGTAATTATATGGCCTAATTGGTTGCAATAAGTGCATGTATTCTTTTTCTTGCAATGGAAGACAACATTCCCAAACTCCTTATATTCATAGCACTGTACTTTAGAGAAGCCCTTCTTCCCTTTCGGTTTTGTTGCTAGGAAGATAGCATCAACGTTGGAATCTTTTCTCCCATCAAGAGTGGTCTGTATAGCAAATCTGGTTTCAGCTCTCAGAATTTCCCCACGAATAGTATCTAAGTCAGGAAGTATTCCTCAGCTCAAGATATTAAAACTAACAACTTCAAACTCAGGCCTGGGATGCATTAGAAAATGCATAGCCTTCCTTCTATCAAAGTATTCATATACTTCATGCAATAGTTCGACGAATCCTTTCCCATGTGTACTAACTCATACTTTATCTAGAGGTTAACAAACCCTACATAGTATTCCTGGACTCTCCTCTCCTTGATAATATGAGAAGATGTCAACCTCTATCCGGTAATGTTTAGAGGTGTTCGATTACTGATAAACTTTCTCAAGGTACTCGTACATCTCATAGGCAGTCCTATACCCTCTCATAGGGATTGCAATGTCGGTTTCGACTGATCCTAGGATCCATGATGCAATTTTTGCATTGTCGATCTTCCACTGATTAAGACCCTTAATATCCGAATCATCAAGTTTAGCTACAAAACTATCCAAATATCCCCAAAGACCCTTGGCTTCGACATGGAATTGAAAGTTAAACTTCCATAAAGCATAGTTTGTGCCATTGAATTTAATAGGGAGAACCCCCATCCTTTCTGATGCCATTGAAGGACAAAAGACAATAATGCACACTTCCAAGAAATCAATAAAATTCGAACCAGAGGGTAGAAAAGAGAGTACCTTTCAGCTGAGGTCCAAAAAAAGGTAATTGTAGTATTATGTGCTTCTGCCAAACTGAAAAGTGGATCGAAACCCTTCAAAATCAAAACTGATGCAAACCAAACCAAAATGATTCAGTAGATCTGCTCCGGGCGACACCAGATCTAAGATTTCAGGCTGATCCGATGTCTCTACAAGGAGATCCAAGAAGAAGGAGAAATCTGATGGCCCAACAGCCCAGAGAAATGATATGTAAAGTTCAGATCTGAAGCTTCTATAGGAAGAAGATTCAAAGACACTCAAAAGCCTCCCAAATACTGTTAGAGAGTTCTTGAGATAGCAGCAACAGAGATGATTGAAAAGATACTATATGCAGATCAAATCGTGACCTGCTCTGATACCATGTCAGAGTCAAGTCGAAAAGGCAAAATTAGAAGAGAGAAAAGAACAAACAGTTTGGTGGGTGTGTCACCTTGTGATTGTTGACACCCTAAAAGAGATATTTATGTTAAAGAAAGTAAAAGGACAAATCCACCCTTAGTGTACAAAAGAAAGAGTACAAAAAATAGATGTACAAAAATAGCCTTGTGGCTAGATCTTCTCACTGTCTCTACAAAAAACAGATATTAGCGTTTAAAAATACTTCTATCAACCACAGGGTTGCAAAATTATAAGGCTTTAGGACTATGGACTACCAAAGTAGGGTATCTCAATGGTGAACCATCATGGGGAATGCACTTCACATTGACATAAACCTCTCACCAACTGTTATGTTACGGTTGTTACCTATGTTACCCAAGGAGAAATGCAAGAATCCAAAATTCTGTGTTGTGAGCCTCTTCCAAATAAAGCATACAAAGCCATGCTTTTCCCCAATTCCCCCTTAACCTCCAAAAATTGTCAACACTCTCACTGACAATCAAATTATTCCAAACTTTGTTTACCCCTCAAAAGTACCTTGTAAGGGAGAAACTAGATCAAATACCTCACTAAGCCCATTGGGAAAAACCCCAGTGGCAATCCTACAAATACTTCCAATCAGGCTTATAAGTAAATTATCTAAGCTCCAATATACCTGTTTTCTTAGGGGTAAAGGAGATGAAAGTGGCATTCGTACTTTTGTAGTTTTGTTCATCATTCCTTCCCATTGTCTATTATACTTACAGATTGTAATATTGATCCAGAAAAGAGTTCCAATATATGAAATACAGGTATACACACAATTTTTTGGATTCAAGATAGTAACATAATGTGAAAAAGCATATTTCTACATACCAGTCTAAAAGCAGCATTTCTAACAAGCTCATCCCCATTTTCAATTACATCACTGAGGGCATCTGGAAGAACCTTCCAAAATTCATTGACAAACTCAGAACCCTTTCGCCTACTATTCTGTAAAATATCATTTGCAAGGTATAGAAAAGACAGCCGCTGTTCTTGAGGAGAACAATGAAACTGCCTGTCCCATGTTTCAACAACATATTTTGCTTTCTTCCTGTGAAAGATACACCAGTGTGATAAAGCTTGACTCTGTTAAGGATAACTAAGAAACATTTATAGATTAGGATATGAAGTAAAGAAGTACAAATAAAAAAGGAAAACTAGGCATAAAGTCCACATAGATATGTACAACCATATAGAGTACATCCTTTTTTCTTGGGAATAGGCAATGGTATTTGTATTCCATTCATAAGAAGGCATAAAGTACACAAAAATATGTACAAGCATGATTGATTAGAACTATACAGGGGCCTTTTGTATTCTGTCCTTTTGTTATTAATGAAATACTTTACCTTACAGTTCTCAATATATATATATATATATATATACATATGTACAAGCATGATTTATTAGAACTATACATTAGCAGTATACAAGGAGCTATATACATCATAGTAGTGTCAAGGATGATTACATACCAATAGGTGAAGGACACTCCGAGATGAAAGAATTGCATGCAGCACTTTATGGTTTAAGACTGGCTCTCAAGAATATGAAAATCTGATTGAAGGGGATTAAGAAACAATTGTGGGTTGGCTCAAGGATGGGATGGAAGGACCATGGTATAAAGCATCAGATGAGGGAGGTGAGACATTTGGCCATCATCGCGGAAGTAATATGTTTATGGATCAACAATCTGCAAATATTTTCGCCGACTCCCTGGCTTAGGAAATAGGAAGTTAGTTGACAGTCACTGATTTTGGGGGTATATCCATTTGAATTGAAAAAAAAAAAAAGGCATTTATGTTCCATGGGGCTTATTAGAATTTTTGGTAAAACAGCACTTGGCTAGCTCTAATTTTAATGGTTGGTAAGTGTTTTCTATGAATCTATGTACTTATACTTTGTATTATATTTTCCCCGTCAATACATTTTTTTATCAGCAGAAAAGAGTTTTATTAAATTGATAAAGAGAGTTAATACATTCAGTTAACAAAAATTTCCACCCAACTCTAGAACAGAGTTACATAGTAGCCCAAAAAAGTTGCTGCCTCAATACCCCTTGTTAAAGGGCATCAGCTATCCCATTTGCTGTCCTTCTCACCCACTTAAAGTGAATTTCATGGTCCTTTGCAATGCTTTCCATTTCTCTAAATGCATGTCTGAGAGTCCAGGGGATGTGTCTATTGCAACTTGCGCAGGAAATAATTAACTTTGAATCCCCTTCCACCACCACCCGTCTATAGCCCAACTGTTTTGCTAATCTTAGACCCTGCAGCAATGCCAACAGTTCTGCTTTTAAAGAGTTTCCAATTCCAATAGGCCTTGAATATAGTTCTAATATTCTGCTCTGGGACTCTCTGAATACACCTTCTATTCCTGCCATGCCCGGGTTTCCATAAGAGCTTCCATGAAAATTCAGTAATCCTAAAGATTTAAACCCATAGCAACTTATAACAAATCAGGAAAATGGCCACTATACTCATTACTCACACAAGACACATGACATCAGATCAACAAGATCTTGATGTGTCATTAGATAAGTCCCTGAATAACCTACCTAATAACTAAAATCAAGCCAAAAGGACAAGAAATCAACTCAACTCATCTAAGGGGCTGTTTGATAACAGCTGATGTGGCTGAACTGAAAAGATTATTGCTTTGTCTTTTAGTGAACAAGTTTTTGAGAAGGTTGTGGGCTCCTTAATTGTTGAAGCTGAAGTTGGGTAGATCACTACACCCTTAAAATTTTCATTATTTAATTATTTTATCAACTAAAAGACAAAGTAATGTGTCTTTCAGTTCAGCAACTTCGTCCATTATCAAACAGCACCTAAGCCTTGTCACCTTGTCCAAACAATATGGGGCCAGCTGCCAGCTACATAATCCTGTTCTACCATTCTCCTCTGTTCAGTGCCATATCTGTTGTTAAGTTATGGGTCCTTAAATCATTTCTCACTACTTTAACCCATGTCCTTTTTGGTCTGCCCCTAGCTCTTCTAGATCCTTCAACTTGTAACAGACTATTTCTCACTGTTTCTATAGATCGTCTTCCCTGTACATGACTGATCCATCTTAATCTACTTTCCCTCGTTTTATCACCTGTTGGTACCACCCCCACGTTCCTTCGAACAAGTTCATTTCTGTTCCTATCCTTTCTAGTTTCCCACTCGTACATTTCAATATTTGCATTTTTACTATTCAAAAACATGTGTTTGACACATGAAATATAGGGTGCAAGAAAAAGAAAATTTTAACATATTTTGATTCTCTAGATTAAATATAAGCACATCTACAACAACTATAAACTTCTCTAAATTCAAAAAAAAAAAAAATCTAACAAGAAATTATAACATATTTTGGTTCTCTAGATCAATAAATAAATAAATAAACACATGTACAACAACTATAAACTATAAATAACTAAAATTCACCCAAGTATAGAAGAAAAAACCCCAAAACTATGAAAAAGCCACCGCAATAGGAGAAATTGAGAAAAACTTATTTTCTTCCTCTACAGATCTTTCCCTCTTTACGTGTATTGTTAGAGTCAGCAGCCATAAGGGTAGTTTGGTCTTTTGTCATGTAATTAGAGCTGAGTTGTCTATTTTGTCTTTGTTTAAGTTATGTGTCCCACACTTAATGAGGGACATAATTGTCTTTGTAGTTCAAGATACATAACATATAAATAAGAGGGGAGTCAGCTGAGAGAGTCTTCTTTTTTCTCTGGCCAAACTCTCTATTTTTCTTCTCTTCTTTCCCTTCTTCTCTTTCTCTCTTTCTTTCTTATTTCAGACCTAGGACTGAACCGGTGTTAACCGAACCATTAACATGTATCAATCAGATTTCAACCTTTTGGCAGTATTCTAGTTAATGGGTGGACCAACTGAAGGGGCAAATCTCACGCTAAATCAATTGCAATCCAACTTATTAGGATGGCCCCAGGTTACAACTATAGTAAACTTTGAGAAGATTCCTAACAATACAGGCCACAAATGGGACCCTATGAAAGATTGCATAGACCAAAAGTTCACTCTCCCATTCGGCCTGCCCTTTAATTCTGTTAGACTGGTAACAGTCAAAGTAAAAGAAATAGAGAAAGAGAGAGAAGAAAGGAAGAGAAAGATCTGGTTCGAACAAGAGAGAAAAGTTCACTCTCCCATTTGGCCAGATTTGTATTTATATTACTAATGCTCTGGGAATGACACATGTGCCCCTACTTAAGTGAGGGACATAAGATCTAACATAACCTTACACATCAGCAACTTAAACATAAGCATAAAGACAAAAATACCCCTACATAGTTGACATTAACACTCCCCCTCAAGCTAGTGAGTATATATCATATAATCCCAGCTTGTTACATATGTAGTCCACTCTTACCCGACTCAACCCTTTAGCAAACAAGTCTGCCCATTGGTTTCCTGTGTTAACATATGCAGTATCTATCACTCCACTTAGCACCTTCTCTCTCACAAAGTGACAGTCAACCTCTATGTGCTTGGTTCTCTCATGAAACACCGGATGAGAGGAGATATGGACTATAGCCAGATTGTCACAATAGAGCTTCATTGGTATGCCAACAGTGTATCCCATCTCCTATAGAAGGTTCATTAGCCACACTAATTCACAAGTAGTATGTGCCATTGCTCTATATTCTGCCTCTGCACTGCTTCTTGCCACAACAGTCTTCTTCTTACTCTTCCATGTCACCAGATTACCCCCAAGAAAAGTGCAATAGCCTGTAGTAGATCTCCTATCAGATATAGAACCGGCCCAATCAGCATCAGTATACCCTTCTATTTCAAGTTTTCCACCACTTCTGTATATCAAACCACGACCAGGAGCCCCCTTTAAATACCTCACAATCCTTAGAACTGCATCCCAATGTGGAACCAGAGGCTTCTGCATGAACTGACTTACCACACTAACTGCAGATGAAATGTCTAGCCAAGTAAGGGTTAGGTAGTTCAATTTGCCTACAAGTCGCCGGTATCTGCCAGGATCTTCAAACTCTTCACCCAATCACTGCTCAGCTTAGTGTTTGTTTCCATAGGTATTTCAGCTGGTTTAGCACCTAACAAACATGTTTCTTCTAGAAAATCAAGAACATATTTCCTCTGACACAAGTTAATACCATGCTTAGACCTTGCTACTTCTATCCCCAAGAAATATTTTAGTTTACCAAGGTCCTTTGTCTGAAAATGTTCCTGCAGAAAAGTTTTCAACCTATTAATTCCCATTTTATCATTTCCAGTAATAACAATATCATCTACATACACCACCAAGAGGATCTTTCCTGCCTGAGAGTCATAACTGAAGACTGAATGGTCAACTTGGCACTGTTTCATACCAAACTTCTTTACCATCTCACTGAACCTACCAAACCATGCTCAAGGAAACTATTTGAGCCCATAAATAGCCTTCTTCAGTCAACACACCTTGCCATCCTCCCCCTGGGCAACAAACCCCGATGGTTGCTTCATATAGACCTCCTTGAGCAGATCACCATTCAAGAAAGCATTCTTGATATCAAGCTGATAGAGGGGCCAATCATACATAGCAACAAGAGAAATCACAACACAAATCGAACCAATCTTAGCAACCAGGGAAAAGGTCTTTGTGTAGCCAATACCATAGGTTTGGGAGTACCCTTTGGCAACCAGTCTAGCTTTCAGCCGCTCTACACTACCATCAGGTGAGTACTTAACAGTATAAACCCAGTTACAACCAACAGCCTGCTTACTAGGAGGAAGAGTGGTGAGGTCCCATGTATGATTATGAGTTAGAGCTAAGAGTTCTTCTTCCATTGCACGATGCCATCCTGGAGAGGCAAGGGCTTCCTGGACATCCTTAGGGACAACAACAGAGGATAACAAGGAGATAAACTAGCGATGGAAAGTAGAAGGTGAGTGAGAGAAACATAATTAAAAACAGGATGAAGGGTACAACTGTGTTTACATTTCCGCCAGGCAATGGGAAGATCAAGATCAAATATTGGGGTTAGGGATGGTGTGGGAACAACTACTGGATCTGTCGACGATGATGGAGCTG